TGTATACCCTCAGCCTCGAACTTACGTGAACAATAGTTGTTGCCCTCACAAACAACAAACCACTACAAGTGTTAGGAAACCATCTCAGCCCCACTGGGATAGACTAACCTCTAACACTCTACGGCAGTGCCCGAATGCAATTGAAGTCCATCACAACAACCATACAAGAGATAGAATTCCAACCAAATTCTCAAATAACAACAATTCCATAAGTTCTCAATTTCACAATTTGTAATACAAGAGAACAATTTAAGAAAAATAAACAAGAGATCATCACAACTTCATTTAATTACTCAACACCAAGCACTAAAGTTTCAAAGTCAAGAACAAAGGAAGAATCAAGATGAAAGTCCATCTCTTTTGAAAACTAGGGTTTGATATCAAGAAAATGAGATTTCATGGGTATTCAACCCTAACTTTGTTTAAAACGCGCTAATAATTGCAAACGACCTAGAAAAGATGATTTCATAGCAAATAAATAAGATTTAGAGTCAAATAATACATATATATTTGCCCTAGCCTCAATGGACAAGAATGGAAGAAAACCCCCTACCTTGATGTTCTTAAAAAGACTAGGTTTTGATCTTCTTGAAGTTGAAATCCCCTTTGATCTTGTGTTTTTCTCTTCCTTTACTCCTCTCTAATGTCTCCTATGGTTTTTAGTGTTTAAATGGGGCTAAAAGGGCTGTCTTTAAGTATTTATAGTGAAAGGAAAATCGGCTATTCGCGACTTAAAATTTTCAGATTTTTGAAGACCTTCCAGAAGGTTGTTCGTAGACCTTCCAGAAGGTTTGCCTATTTGACAAACCATTTTCATTAACCTTCCGGAAGGTTGTCATCGACCTTCTGGAAGGTTTTTTCTACCGGACAATCATCTTCCTTAACCTTCCGGAAGGTTTTTCTTCTGAACATACATTTTCATCAACCTTCCAAAAGATTTGTCATCGACCTTCCGGAAGGTTTGCCTACTGGTTAAATCTTTTACCTTAACTTTCCGGAAGATTTTTTCATCGACCTTCTGGAAGGTTTTGTCTATTTTTCTACAAAACCTCCATTTTTCGTTTCCAATCTATTCCAAACCTTTCCAATTCCAACCCAAGCTTATTCAACATGCTTTTGTACATCAAACCTAGTTGTATAAGTTTTATTACAACGATTTCATATATTTGCAAGCTAAATTAAGTTTTAACTACTATTTCCCAAATTTTTTCATATTAATATTTCAAAAGAATTAATAACTTGCTATATAAACCTACATACCTATATAAAGATAAAAGTGTGGGGTTTATAGGTTTCCCAAAAAAAATCGATTAAAAGCCCTAATTTTTGGCATTCCAGGTGAAACCTACCATACCGGTTTGTCGAACTTCAGTGGCCAAGTCATACCGGTAGGCTTCGCCTTGTTTGCAAAATATTCATGCTGAGCAAACTTGCTCCACTCCTTTCCAATTCATGACCTACCCTATACATTCTACTACCCTATTTATGACCTCTACTCCCTCCTAAAAATGTACTACACTTATAAACCACATTTTGAACCATCATGCCCAATTCATTTCTGAAATTGCAATGTGATCTGAAATTGCAATGTGATTTAACATTTTGATGCATTCAACGAACAAAGAATGGATTTCTATCTTTAACTATCAAAATGAACACCCAAAATGCAAGTCACATAATTAAAAACACGGGCATTCCTACTTCATGTCAAATATCAAAAACTTGAACAATATTCCCCCATTCTATAAGCATGGAGCTATATAACACATATCTCAGACGATTGAACTAACCACACATGAGCAAGACCATAGTCTCAAATACTAGTATAAAGTATGCACCTAAACATTTATTTTCAAACTCATGTGTGTGTGAATTGGACAAGTAATTTGAACACTTATGCAACATAATTCACATTCAAGTGGCTAGCCAAATTCAGCTTCAATGCAAAACTCACCAAAGATCCCTCTTAACAATGAAATACACTCTAGATATCCTGACATGAACTCCATGTGTACAAGTGAGATAGATTTTTGTTCACAAAAAATAACGTATGCTCACATGTAATCCAAAAACGAAGTTCATGTATGTAAATGAAGCGACTTTGGCATAATCTCACGAAAAGAATGTTAGGGCATTAGATAACAAAACCAACTTCTCTTCTTCTTTAAAAGTATGCTTCCCCCATGCCTTCTTTAGATCATTTAGGACTTTCAAGGGTTGTAATGAGGCCTCGGGGTGATATTGAGGTAGGTGAAAAGAAGGATATAGGATAACAAAGAGGGTTATTCCAAGTGAAAGAGTTTTATTTCAAAAACATCTTCTTTATCATGGAATTCTCATTCCATTCTTACACCTTCACCACACTCTTTGTTTCTTTTCTTTCTTTCCATTTCTTTTGTCATTCTTTTCTTCTTTTTTTCAATTCTTTGAGTTTCAACAACAATCATCCCTTGCTTGAATTTCCTCACCACAATTCCTTTACTTTTGCAATCACTTATTTTCAGTTTTAGGAACAACCAATGTAAGGTAGATACCTAGAACCATGGTGCCTTCAGCTAGACCTTACGAGTTTCCTATTTGTAAATTAGAGGATCCTCAGTTTATAGGTATTGGAGGAAAGGATCCATCTAGCTTGGAGCAACTTCTTTAATACTGGTTAAAAGGCTCTCGACATCACACAATATTCTTAGCATCAAGAGATTCTCCAAAGTTATCCTCCTTATAACCTTAGTTTTGAGAGCGAAGGCGAGGCATGAAAGGGACTTTGTGGGAGTTTTTTTAGGCTCTAAAGCCGACGCATATTTCTTACCCTATGAAGCTCCCTTGTGGAGAAATCAAAATCATGCCAAAAGGAAGCTATCATCTTCTACTCTACCAATGGCATCAAGGATTCGATAAGAAAAAACTTATTGGGATCCAAATATATTGTACTCAAATTCTCGAGGTCGAGCTAGTTCTCCTTAGAGGTGACTTCTGCCTTTACAGAAGCGTAGAAACATTTTTTAGATGAAGCTTGATCTTTGTTGATCCACATAATCCCTTTTGGATTGGGAATTTTAGCTTTTGGTGGTAGGAGGAATGCACAAAGTCGAGTGCGTGTAGCTAGCCATGTCCTTCTGCTTGATGTTTTCCGTTGTAGTATCCTAACCTCTTAACATCTTCCCTCAATGTGTATGTATGATGTGTGTGTGAAGGGGAGTGTCATTCTCCCTTAGAATAATGTCAAAAGAAAGGGCGAGAGAATGGTGGAAAATTAAATGTGGAAGTGAGCAATAATGCTTCCTAAGTGCAAGAAGACTTTTGCGTGTCATGTTTTACTTGGAGGTATTTCAAGGTCGTTTCCTCAGGGATGGGTGGGGATGGGTGTGAATTATTTTGAAAGTGATTTCGGTTAAAAAAAGGTGTAAAATCTTTTGTAGTTAAATTTTGGTTTGTGAGTTATATGTTGATGAAATCGAAATGGAAAGCAAGTGTTGGCTAATCTGAAGGGTTCACTCTGATGGGAATACCGAGTCAACTCAAAACCTTCCTCCAATGGTGCGTAAATGAACTATTGATTCATGGGAAGTGAGAATCCAAGCATAACCCGTGACAAATACCTACGGGATATCAAAGACTCACACTCCGGACCACACTCAACCGAGTGAAGCCGAACCACCGTACAACGAGGGGAGGAGAGGGGATGAGTTGAGATGGCATACCCAAGAGGAGGTCTCCCTTGGATTAGCCAACTTAAGGATTTAGCTATTCATGCTTAAAAGAAAGACAACAATGGAAATGGAAGACATTCTAAAGCAATTCAAGATTGTAGCTAAGATAATGCAAGAAAACTTAAACTAAAAGAGAATGCATTTCATACCCATTTAAAGCTAAGAAATTGAAGAGCATAGAAGCATTAATGGTAGAAACTTTAATAGAAGAATAAACTTGAAAATAAACTAGAAATCAATGACATTAAAAGCATTAAAAGAAGCTTAGAAGATTCTTACATGAAATTAGAAGACAATGCATGGAAGAAAATGTAAAACTCTCAACTTCTCTCTCTATATTATAATGTGTATATTGCATAATGATCACCATGCACTCTCTCCCTTGTCCAAAACATCCATGTAGTGATGCCCAAGTCTGTATGTGATCTCCATCCATAGGGCTGCCAAGAGAGTGGACCGGAGAGAGTGTTGCAGACATAGCCTGCACACCCAGCACATTCTCTCTCTTCTCTCCTAATTTATGATCAAGTCCTCAAAAGTCCATGAAGAGATGCATTACGGATGTTCATTGTGCAAGACATGTCAGGAATAGGTAGGAGGATGACTGGTGGGACCCTCAAAATGGCAGAGCCTGATATGTAGAATTTGGGGCTGTATTAGAACACCCTACTGGTATGACATACCGGTATGTCAAACTCCAGTAGCCGAAACATACCGGTATGTCAAACTCCAGTAGCTGAAACATACCGGTATGGCCTACCGATATGCCTTGCCCTATTTTTGCTGATTCTTTGGTTTTCTCACCTCCAAAACTATCATCAAGCCATCCCTTCTTTATCATTCACCTCAAATCATAAGAGGAGGCTTTAAGAAGCACCATTTAATACATTTTATTTGAAAATACCACAAATCTTTGTTAATAGCTCAAATAGCACAATTCCACTCATTTAATCCCCAAAAGCAAGTGAGAAAGGAACGTATTAGCACATGAAATATGCAATGTTTTGTGCTAATCACCTTCCCCTAATCGTATTGTGTAGGGAATCAGAGTTGATAACCACAAAATCTATTAGCAAATTGATGGATCCCGCTAACAGAATGATGGATACCATCGATTTCCTTTTGTTCCAAGCACTCGATCTCCCTCCTTGTAAGCATCCCAGTTGATGAACTCACCAAAAAGGGCATTCTTGGTTGTTTGTACAAGTGAACACTGCCCCATTTATAGGTAAAATACACTAATAAATTTATGCCCATAAATTCAAAAAAATGCCTCATGCTTGCTATAATTCAATGAGAGTCTACAGGGGCTAGTTCACCGGCCACGAGAAGCTTGGCATCCCTATACTTGTGATATAGATGAAATGATATTGCTTGGGCATCGTGCTTTCCTCCCAATGAAAACACCTCATCAATATCCCACTCTTGTAGTAGACTACTCCAATCCAAGAGGGCTCCAATAGTAGCTAAAGATGATGATTCATCTGAACCAACCAACCAAATAAAGGGAGATCTACAAAACAAAGTCAAACTCAACCATGAAAAAACCCCATGTAATAATGATATGTCATTTTCACACCTACTTGCTAGTGAGTAGAGTCTCTTTGAAGCTCATTAAGATCAAGAAAAGGCTTTCCTAGCCTTTCTAGAAATGACATTGGGGGATGTAGATGGCACATTCCCACCCTTTTTCCTCTTCCCTCAGCAAGGCTCTTCTTTTTTTCTTGGGGCTAGAGCCTTGCCCCTCTGTATACCCAAATCATTTTCCACCTTGTCATATTTGTCAATAGGAACCATTAGTTTGCTCCTAGTGGATGGGATCCTCTTCGTTAGGCACCGATACAGATGAGTGTCACCAAGGCTGATTAAGAACACCCAACACAACAGCTTTGGGTTCGTGTTGTAGAATGATGTAAGTTATTTATACTATCGGAGGTGAGCCTCTAGGTTGGATCGGGCAGGTTCATCATCGACATCAACTCCTTGTTGCTAGGGAGCCTTCTCGAGCTTCTTTGAGTTTAAGTGGGATCTTATGTCGTCACACTCCTTTTAGCGTTTCGGGGATGCATAATTATATATTATGTCGACGTCTTTTACGAAGAGGATAGAACCCTCTTCGAGCCCATCATTTTATCTCCGCAAGAGGCGTTGATGGAGATCATCATCTGCTAGATGTTTGCCCCTTTTTCTCAAGGCATCAATTTCCGAGGCCTGTTGGCAATCCCATTTGGGGTTATTGGTTTTTTCCACCTTTTGAGCAAGGTGATGTCAAAGATTATCTCATCTCAATCTGTCTTGGTAGGCCTAGTCTAGAAGTGATTGAGGGTCCTCAACCTTCCGAAATGCCCAAATCAGTTTACCATGTCGACACGTTATAATGTCCTCTTTGATCTATTCAAACCGACCTTCCAGCCATTGCTCTATGAGGTCCACCAACTCAGAGGTAAGGGTTCCATTCTTAGCTCCCACGAGCCTGGGTATAATGTGCTGGGATTTTCATCTAAAGTCGCTATTCCAAGCTAGCAACTTGGTCTGGGCTCGAGTTTTCAATATGGTACATTGACTTGGACATCGATACATCTAAGAGGGGACTAATATTTTTTTTGGTGACGTGGGTTTTCATCCACATAGTCTCTTGATCTAGTGTTAACAATCATGTTGGCTACAGGGAAGTTCTTGGCTTTCCCATAGATGGCGCCAAATTGTGTGGGTGATTTGTTACACAATATTGAAATAGCAGTCTCCCGAGCTTGGAGACAATGAAAGCTTAGAGATCATAAAAAAGGGTTAGAAGGGAGGCTGGAGGTGTGCTTGGTGACTTCCCTTCGATGCTTAAGTTAGTCTCTAAGGAGGGAAGAAGACACAATGTTCAATGAAGGGTTGTGAGAGCGTACCATTTATTTTTTCTTAAGAGTGTTGCTTATACTTTTTTGGTGGATGAGTGTGCTTGTCGAGGACATTTGTACGATCCTCTTTGGTAGGAGGGCCCCTAATTGGCTTATAGTGGATGTCTCTTTCATCTCATCAGGTGGCTAGGCATCGAGCAAGGTGCTTGATGGTTTCCATTGTAATCCCTAATGTTCGGAAATCATCCCTCAATGTGTGTATGGTGTGTGTGTGGAAGGGAGTGTCACTGTCCTTGGGAATGATGTTAAAAGAAAGGGCAATGAAATAGTGGAAGAATGAAATGTACAAAATGTGTGTGTGTGTGAACAAAAATGCTCCCAAGCGCAGAGAGACTTTTGTGTGTCATGTTTTACTTGGAAAAATATTCCAAGGTCGTCTTCTCAGGGGAAGAAGGGAATTATATGAAGGTGATTTTGTTGTGAAAAGGAAAGTGTACAATCTTTTGAGTTTGGTGATTTGTGTTCTTAATAAAATGAAATGGGAAAAAAAGTGTTGGTTAATCCAAAAGTTTAACACCAATGGGAATGTCAAGTCAACCCAAAACCTTCCTCCAATGGTCTATAGATGAACGATTGATTGGTGAAAAATGAGGGACGAGATGGAAGTGAGGATCCAAGCATAACCCGTGACCAGGCCTACGAGATATCAAAGACTCACAACCGCATCCACACCCAACCCAATTAAATTGAACCATCTTACACAGAGAGGAGGAAAGAAAAATGAGCTGAAACGGAAAACCCAAGAGGTTTCCCTTGGAATAGCCAACTAAAAATCTAGCTACTCATGACAAAGGAAAGACATGCATAATGTAAAGAGACATAATGAAGAAAGGAAACATGTAACTTAACTTAAAGCAAGAAATCTTAAACTATGAAGAAAAATATGCAATACCCATTTTAAAGGTTGAAAATGAAGAACTTGAAAGCATTAATGGTGAATTGAAGAATATGTAACTAAACTTGGAATACACTTGAAATAACTAAGATTAAAGTGCAAGATACGAAGATTACAAGATATTTAAAGCTTACTACAACTGAAATGGAGAAGAAAATGCAAAAACATAAATTTCTATCTCTACTATTCATCATCTTCCTTAGAGCTACTCCTAAGCTTAGGTGGCCCTTCAAAATCTTGTGGAATTTTGAATATATGGTGAAGGATGGATGCATTTTTGTCCATAAAGCTCCCCTAGCCTATGAGAGCAGAGCTCCCATCGATAGGAGACTAAGTTGATGCTTGGACAAGCTAGGACAAGGCTAGCCTACAACCCACCATGCCTCCCTCTTTCTCTCTCATCCTCTCCTATCTTCTTTTGCTGACTTTGGGGTGTAGGAGGCATGTATATATGTAGAATATGTCAGGGGGCAAATGGGAGAATCATAGGTGGGATCTCCAAGCAAGTGGAGCATGAGTTGCAAGCGCTCTAGGCATTTTGGTTAAAACCTTCCAGAAGGTCGATGAAAACCTTTCGGAAGGCTTATTCCAGTTGGCTAAACCTTGCGGAAGGTCTTCCGTAAGGTGACAACTCAGGACCAATTTTAGTAAAATTGCCATAACTTTTGATGCAACCGTTGGATTGAGCTGAAATTTTGACACAATACAAAAGACATCCAGATCTACAACATTCATGTTTTTCACTTTTTTAGATTCGAAGGGGATCATGTGCATCATGGTAAAAAATGGGAAAAACATAGGTATTGTGTGAAAAAAAAAAAGGGAAAACCAGTGGGCTAAGCCTTCCAGAAGGTTTATGGCCAATCCTTCTAGAAGGTTTTCATCCAAATGATTTTTTTCTTGCTTTCTTCACCTTTCAAGTCTCCAAATCTTCATCTAATATGTCCATCTCTTCACCACACATTCACACTTAGTTGCAAAAGTCTAAAAGCCATCATTTACCCTATAATTACCTAAAACATCAAAATTTCCACATTATTCATAACTTTGACTAACTCTAACTAATTAAATGCAAAGTTTAATTAAAATGCATATGTCCTTATCTTAACTAGCACTGGGATGTCAACAATAGCCTTGTCCAACACACCCGAACTAATCACAACCTTAAATGCTATTGCATACACATTCATTTTCAAACTCGTGTGTGTGTGAAATGGACATGCAATTTAAACATTTACACAAAGGAGTTCACATTTACTTTGGCTATCCAAATTAAGCTTCGATGCAAATTCACCAAGGGTGTCTCTCAACAAAGAATCACACTATAGTTATCTTGAATTGCTCTCCAGGTGTATATGTGAGATAGAATCTTATGCACAAACCGAAGTACATGTATGCAAATGAAACAACCTTGGAATAATCTCATGAAAGGAATGATAGGGCATTAGATAGCAAAATCAAGTTTTCTTTTTCTTTAAAAGTAGGCTTTCCCATGCTTCACTAGATCATTTAGGACTTCAAAGGTTATAATGGGGCCTTGGGGTGATATGTAGGCAAAAGAAATGAAGGATATATGATAACAAAGAGGGTTGTTCCATGTGAAAGACTTTTATTTCAAAACCACTTTCCTTTTAATGGGATTTTCCTTCTGACACCTTCACCACACTCTTTGTTTCTTTTCTTTCTTTTCTTTAACGTTTTCCTTTTCTTTTGATCATTATTTTCTTTTTTTCACCCATTTTCTTCCTTTTCCTGGATTTTCATTCTTTTTCCATTGAACTCCTTGAGTTTCAACATCATTTATCCCTTTATTTGAGTTTTCACACCATAATTCCTTCTCTTTTTATGATCATTCATATTTAGCTCTAGGAACAACCAAGGTAAGGTAGATATTTATTATTTCTCTGACTTGGTCTAATGTGTGGCATAGAAACGAATTTCAATAAAGGCTAAATCACGGCACTAGGGCTAATATTTTCTCAAGAAAAAGGCTAAGGCTAAAAAAATCAAGGATGGCCTAAGATCACTTCTAGATAGGCATGGGAGAGCATTGTACATTTCTAGACAAAGTCAATTAACTACCCAAACATACCTAACCTAAACAAGCATTATGAAATTATTTAACAAATTTGGAATTTGAAAAATTGTTCCTTGAGTAAATGTAAGTTCCCTCCAAACAAGGATTGACATTAAAGCTCACATGGGTTCTTACTCATCTCCACTATTCATGTCAAGCACTAAATGTGAACTCAATCTGTAAATTGTCCAAATTACACATTAAAGGTGCACTTATGGGAGAGTTCAAAAGCAAACAAGTATGTGATACTCTTAGCAATAGGATAAACTTCTATAATGTGTTCATGTATTCAAAGTTCAAAATGAAGATCAAATTATCACTAAACCCACACACTTTGAATAGGGGGATATGGTTCAATGTTAGATATTTTCCACAAAAAGTGTCCAAAATTTTGAAAATTCACATTTTCCATTATTCTATACAAAAAGTGGTGGAAAATGTAAATGGTGCACCTCACTCCCCAACTTGAACCATGCATTGTCCGCGATGCACAAGGAATCATGGAATGAGAAAAATGAAAGTAATATGGGGAATAAGATACTCCCTTTTTTTTTAAATATACATTAACGTGAAAATAAAACACAAAAAGCTTGTTTACACCCCCCCAACTTGGACTCAAACATGATACTCAATAAGATTTGCTACGATGATGCTCAAAATGCATTGAGTCCAAATCAAGAAGACGTAAACATTTCATGCTAAAAGCTACACTACAATATTATGAAAATAAAAGCATACCAATAAAAGAAATCTAACTACTATGTACATGAAAACAAAACAAAAAGGGCTCATGTCAATTCGGCTCCAATTAGAATATAAGCTTGCGCCCATTGATTTTTTTGATTTTAAATGTTTTTGTTGTATAAATGCCCTTCCTAACCAATCTATCCAACAATACAAAGGATAATGGTTCAAAAATCTCAACCAAACGGAGGTGTAGGTAAGTTTATGTAATTCCAACAATGGAGTATACAATTTGTCTTTAAAAGTTTTTACACTTAACTCCATTTCAATGCCTTCCTTAAGTTGAGAAATGTGAATTTCAACACCACTCTTAGATGCAAAAATTACCTTGGGCTCATTAGCCTCATGTGAGATAATATCTTCATCAAATTTTTCACAATCAAGAGTGGTGGGAGATTCAACATCAATTTTCTTTCCATAGAAATGATCATCCTCAATACATTGACTATGCTCAAGATGTTGTTATTCATCTATAGCAATTATAGCATTAGTCAATTCATCGAGGTCTTAGACTACTTGGGCATTGAATTCCATTTGGTATTGCATAAACTCGCACAAAATATTTTCCAATTCTTGTTCATATGTTGAGTCCTCATATGTTGGATAGTGGCAAAATTCATTTGGTGGTGTGAGATCAGATGCAAAATTATAAGGTTCATTCTCCCAACCATAACTCGGTGTAACATAGTGCTCGGGGTAAAAGTTTTTGGAGGCCAAAATTGAATTTGAACCTTCGCATACAAAGTCTTGAACTGGATAGTTAATTGGGCACTCACTAGTGATGTGCCCATACT